CCCCTGAACCCCAGGACTCCCCCCGACGACCTACATGGAGCCGATGAAGGCGACGTCGAACCAGAAGGCCAGGCCGTGGACCAGGCCCGAGTGCAGCATGTGGAACTTGAAGGGGATTTCTATCCTGGAAGGCAAAAAAATTTGGGGTTTTTTTTGGGGGGAACAGGTCTGAGACACAAAATAAACCCCCCCCCCAGACTCTTCTTCCAGCTCCGGTGTGTTTTTTGGCAGATATTAAAATGAAACCACCAAGAAAGGGATGAGAAAGCACCAGGCGGGATTAAAAGTGAGGAAAAAAGGGAGGAAAAGCCAAAATCAAGGTGCATCTTCCAGCTCAAGTGGGTATATTTGGAACATATTAATATAAAAATCACTAAGAAAGAGATGAGAAAACACCAGGAGGCATTAAAAGTGGGGGGAAAAGGGAGGAAAATCCAAAATCAAGGTCCTTCTTCCAACTTCGGTGTGTTTTTTGGCAGATATTAAAATAAAACCACCAAGAAAGGGACGAGAAAGTACCAGGCGGGATTAAAAGTGGGGGGAAAAGGGAGGAAAAGCCAAAATCAAGGTGGTTCTTCCAGCTCCAGTGGGTATTTTTGGTAGATACTAAATTGAAACGACCAAGAAAGAGATGAGAAAGTACCAGGCAAGATTAAAAGTGGGGGAAAAGGGAAGAAAAACCAAAATCAAGGTGCATCTTCCAGCTCCAGTGTGTTTTTTGGCAGATATTAAAAGAAAACCACCAAGAAACAGTCAGAAAAGCTCCGGAATGGAGTAAAAGTGGGGAAAAAAAGGGAAGAAAAGCCAAAATCAAGGTGCTTCTTCCAGCTCCAGTGTGGTTTTTTGCAGATATTAAAATGAAATGACCAAGAAAGAGACAAGAAAGTACCAGGTGGGGTTAAAAGTGGGGGGAAAAGAGGGAAGAAAAGCCAAAATCAAGGTGGTTCTTCCAGGGCCAGTGTGTATTTTTGGGACATTATTAATACAAAATCATTAAGAAAGAGATGAGAAAGCACCAGGAGGGATTAAAAGTGGAGGGAAAAGGGAAGAAAAGCCAAAATCAAGGTGGTTCTTCCAGCTCCGGTGTGTTTTTTGGCAGATATTAAAAGAAAACCACCAAGAAACAGTCAGAAAAGCTCCGGAATGGAGTAAAAGTGGGGAAAAAAAGGGAGAAAAAGCCAAAATCAAGGTGCTTCTTCCAGCTCCGGTGTGTCTTTTGGCAGATATTAAAATAAAACCACCAAGAAAGGGACGAGAAAGAACCAGGCGGGATTAAAAGTGAGGAAAAAAGGGAGGAAAAGCCAAAATCAAGGTGCTTCTTCCAGCTCCAGTGGGTATTTTTGGGACATATTAATATAAAATCATTAAGAAAGAGACAAGAAAGCATCAGAGGAATTAAGAGTGGGGGGAAAAGGGAGGAAAAGCCAAAATCAAGGTGCTTCTTCCAGCTCCAGTGTGTATTTTTGGTAGATACTAAATTGAAACGAGGGGGGGAATATTTGAGCCCCCCCCCTGAACCCCACAGACCCCCTCCCAGACCCTACCTGAAAAAAGGGTTTTTCAGGTCGAGGAGGTTGCTGGACTTGGAGCCCGTCTGGTCCACTTGGGCCACGATGCGCTCCAGTGTGTATTTTTGGTAGATACTAAATTGAAACGACCAAGAAAGAGATGAGAAAGTACCAGGCAAGATTAAAAGTGGGGGAAAAGGGAAGAAAAACCAAAATCAAGGTGCATCTTCCAGCTCCAGTGTGTTTTTTGGCAGATATTAAAAGAAAACCACCAAGAAACAGTCAGAAAAGCTCCGGAATGGAGTAAAAGTGGGGAAAAAAAGGGAGAAAAAGCCAAAATCAAGGTGCTTCTTCCAGCTCCAGTGGGTATTTTTGGGACATATTAGTATGAAATCACTAAGAAAGAGACGAGAAAGCACCAGGAGGGATTAAAAGTGGGGGGAAAAGGGAGGAAAAGCCAAAATCAAGGTGCTTCTTCCAGCTCCAGTGGGTATTTTTGGGACATATTAATATAAAATCATTAAGAAAGAGATGAGAAAGCACCAGGAGGGATTAAAAGTGGAGGGAAAAGTGAGGAAAAGCCAAAATCAAGGTGCTTCTTCCAACTTCGGTGTGTTTTTTGGCAGATATTACAATGAAACGACCAAGAAACAGACAAGAAAGTACCAAGAGGGATTAAAAGTGGGGGGAAAAGGGAGGAAAAGCCAAAATCAAGGTGCATCTTCCAGCTCTGGTGTGTATTTTTGGTAGGTACTAAAATAAAACCACCAAGAAATAGTCAGAAAAGCTCCGGAATGGAGTAAAAGTGGGGAAAAAGGGAGGAAAAGCCAAAATCAAGGTGCTTCTTCCAGCTCCAGTGTGGTTTTTGGGACATATTAATATAAAATCATTAAGAAAGAGACGAGAAAGCACCAGGATGGATCGAAAGTGGGTAAAAAAGGGAGGAAAAGCCAAAATCAAGGTGGTTCTTCCAGCTCCAGTGTGGTTTTTGGGACATATTAGTATGAAATCACTAAGAAAGAGTCAGAAAAGCTCCGGAATGGAGTAAAAGGGGGGAAAAAATAGGGAGGAAAAGCCAAAATCAAGGTGCTACTTCCAACTTCGGTGTGTATTTTTGGCAGGTATTAAAATGAAATGACCAAGAAAGAGACGAGAAAGTACCAGGTGGGGTTAAAAGTGGGGGGAAAAGGGAGGAAAAGCCAAAATCAAGGTGCATCTTCCAGCTCTGGTGTGTATTTTTGGTAGGTACTAAAATAAAACCACCAAGAAATAGTCAGAAAAGCTCCGGAATGGAGTAAAAGTGGGGAAAAAGGGAGGAAAAGCCAAAATCAAGGTGCTTCTTCCAGCTCCAGTGTGGTTTTTGGGACATATTAATATAAAATCATTAAGAAAGAGACGAGAAAGCACCAGGATGGATCGAAAGTGGGTAAAAAAGGGAGGAAAAGCCAAAATCAAGGTGGTTCTTCCAGCTCCAGTGTGGTTTTTGGGACATATTAGTATGAAATCACTAAGAAAGAGTCAGAAAAGCTCCGGAATGGAGTAAAAGGGGGGAAAAAATAGGGAGGAAAAGCCAAAATCAAGGTGCTACTTCCAACTTCGGTGTGTATTTTTGGCAGGTATTAAAATGAAATGACCAAGAAAGAGACGAGAAAGTACCAGGTGGGGTTAAAAGTGGGGAAAAAAGGGAAGAAAAGCCAAAATCAAGGTGCTTCTTCCAGCTCCAGTGTGTTTTCTGGCAGATATTAGAATAAAACGACCAAGAAAGGGATGAGAAATTACCAGGCGGGATTAAAAGTGGGGGGAAAAGGGAGGAAAAGCCAAAATCAAGGTGCTTCTTCCAGCTCCAGTGGGTATTTTTGGGACATATTAATATAAAATCATTAAGAAAGAGACAAGAAAGCATCAGAGGAATTAAGAGTGGGGGGAAAAGGGAAGAAAAGCCAAAATCAAGGTCCTTCTTCCAGCTCCAGTGTGCATTTCTGGGACATATTGATATAAAATCATTAAGAAAGAGTCAGAAAAGCTCTGGAATGGAGTAAAAGTGGGGAAAAAAGGGAAGAAAAGCCAAAATCAAGGTGCTTCTTCCAGCTCCGGTGTGTTTTTTGGCAGGTATTAAAATAAAACCACCAAGAAACAGTCTGAAAAGCTCCGGAATGGAGTAAAAGCGGGGAAAAAAAGGGAGGAAAAGCCAAAAATCAAGGTGCTTCTTCCAGCTCCGGTGGGTATTTTCGGGTCTTCCAGCTCCGATGTGTTTTTTGACAGATATTAAAATAAAACCAACAAGAAAGGGACAAGAAAGTACCAGGTGGGGTTAAAAGTGGGGGAAAAGGGGAAGAAAAGCCAAAATCAAGGTGCTTTTTCCAGCTCCAGTGGGTATTTTTGGTAAATACTAAAATGAAATCATCAAGAATGAGTCGGGAAAGCACCAGGATGGAGTGAAAATGGGGGGAAAAAAAGGGACGACAAGCAAAAATCAAGGTTCTTCTTCCAACTTCGGTGTGTTTTTTAACAGGTATTAAAATAAAACCACCAAGAAAGGGACGAGAAAGTACCAGGTAGAATTAAAATTGGGGAAAAAAGGGAAGAAAAGCCAGGTACCCAAAGATTTTGGGGAAGGGGGGGGGGAGTCTGCACCCACCTGTGCAAATCGCCTTCTTTGGCTTCTAAGAAATTCACGGTGTATTTGACGGATTTGGCCATTAAGATCCTGATATCGAAGGTGTCCTGGGAGAATGGGATGGGGGGGGGGGAATTTGGGGGTGTGGGGGGGTCAGTAGCCCCCCAAAATCTCCCCCAGAGCCCCCCCCTGACAATTCCTGAGGGGATTTGGGGGCTGCTCACCACCACGGGCTGCCTGAAATACTCATCCACCGCCGCCCCTCGCAGCGCGGAGAGGTCGACGCCGTGGAAGGAGGGCTGGTACCTGCCCAAAAATAAAAAAAGGGGGAAAAAATGATGGGGGGGCACCTCTGGGACCCCCCCCCGGGGTAGGGGAAGGGGTGAGGGTCTCCCTTTGTGCCCCCCCTGGGTGCTGGGCTCACCAGAAATTGGCCTTGGTGAACTGCTCCATGTAGAGCTGCTCGTCCGTGAACGGGGCCAAGTGGACGTCGCCGATCGTTGGGAACATGTTTCCTGGGGGGGGGGGGGGGCAAAGGGGGGGCCAGGACACTGGGACCCCCCCATCCCCAGGACACCAGGCTGGTGGGGTCCATCAGACTGGGAATGAGCCCCCCAGGGATGGCAGGAACCCCCATTCCCACTGGGAAAGTGCCCGATCCTCCTCCCTGGAATTGTGGGGTCCCACAGGATTGCCAGGGGTAGGGGGTCCAGCAGAGCCCCCCCCCAAAACATTGGGAAAAAGCCCCCCCTCTCTGATCCCCAAACCACCAGGAACTCCCCCTCCCCAGGCTCGTGGGGGGGCAACCAGGGTGGTAAAGAGCCCCCCTTGGACATTGGGAGCCCCCCAACCCCAGGACACCAGGCTGGTAGGGTCCATCAGACTGGGAATGAGCCCCCCCAGGGCACCAGGAACCCCTCTTTGGGCTCAGGGGGTCCAGGAAAGAGCCCCCCAGGGTGCCAGGAACCCCTCCCTGGGCTCAGGGGGTCCCACAGCACCACACCCAGGGGGGTAAAGAGACCCCCCCAGGACATTGGGGGCCCCCCCAGGACACTGAGAGCCCCCCATCCCCAGGACACCAGGCTGGTGGGGTCCATCAGACTGGGAAAGAGCCCCCCAGGGCACCAGGAACCCCTCTTTGGGCTCAGGGGGTCCAAGAAAGAGCCCCCCCAAGAACCAGGGTGCCAGGAACCCCTCCCTGGGCTCGTGGGGTCTAGGAAAGAGCCCCCCCAGGACACTGAGAGCCCCCCAAGGACACCAGGACCCCCCCATCCCCAGGACACCAGGCTGGTGGGGTCCATCAGACTGGGAATGAGCCCCCCAGGGATGGCAGGAACCCCCATTCCCACTGGGAAAGTGCCCGATCCTCCTCCCTGGAATTGTGGGGTCCCACAGGATTGTACCCAGGGGGGTAAAGAGCCCCCCCAGGACACCAGGACCCCCCCATCCCCAGGACACCAGGCTGGTGGGGTCCATCAGACTGGGAAAGAGCCCCCCCAGGGCACCAGGAACCCCTCTTTGGGCTCAGGGGGTCCAAGAAAGAGCCCCCCCAGGAACCAGGGTGCCAGGAACCCCTCCCTGGGTTCAGGGGGTCCCACAGCACCACACCCAGGGGGGTAAAGAGCCCCCCCAGGGACACCAGGACCCCCCCATCCCCAGGACACCAGGCTGGTGGGGTCCATCAGACTGGGAAAGTGATGCCCTGGGATGGCAGGAACCCCCATTCCCACTGGGAAAGTGCCTGTTTGGCACTTGGGATTGTGGGGTCCCACAGGACCGTACCCAGGGGGGTAAAGAGCCCCCCCCTGTGACCCCCCCCCAGGCCCTCACCGCTGGGTTTCAGGTACTTCTTGGCGTGGAGGTAGCTCTCCAGCATGCGCTCGTTGAAGAGCATGTAGCCCATGGGCTCGGAGATGATGATGTCCACCTGCTCGGGCAGAGACACCTCCTCCACCTTCCCCGGGATCACCACGATCCTCTCCGTCAGGTTGTTGCTCTTCACCAGCACCTACCCCAAAAAAAAAGGGGGGGGGGTGGGGATCAGAACCCCCCCCCAGCACTAGGAAACCCCCCCAACAAGGACAAGACCACGGTGGGAGGCAGAGCCTCGCATCCCCAGTGTCCTCATCTCGGCGCTACTGGGTTATACTGGTGCTGGGTGGGTTTGGGGTGAAGACCAGAGGTAAAAGGTGATGAGGGGGGGTCTTGGGGTGATTTGGGGGGGGTCCTCACCTCGGCGTGTTGGGCCATGGTGCTGGCTTCCACGGCGTAGATCTTCCTGGCCCCAGCCTGCGCCGCGAAGAAGGAGAGGATGCCGGAGCCGCAGCCGACGTCCAGCACGATCTGGTGGGGAGAGGGGGGGGAAAACACACAAAAAAAGGGTGAAACCAGAACCCAGAGAGCCCCCCCCTTCCCAAAAGACCCCCCCCCAGGACCGAGGAGACCCATGGACCCCATTCCTAAGAGGGAAAACCAAGGTGGTGGCACCATCCTGGTTGGGGGGGGACACACAAACCCACCTCCCCCCGCGGCACCGGTTGGTGTCCAACTTCAGTGTGTTTTTTAACAGATATTAAAATGAAACGACCAAGAAACAGACAAGAAAGTACCAGGAGGGATTAAAAGTGGGGAAAAAAAGGGAAAAAAAGCCAAAATCAAGGTGCTTCTTCCAACTTCGGTGTGGTTTTTGGCAGATATTAATACAAAAATCACTAAGAAAGGGACAAGAAAGTATCAGGTGGGGTGAAAAGTGGGGGAAAAAGGGAAGAAAAGCAAAAAATCAAGGTGCTTCTTCCAACTTCGGTGTGGTTTTTGGCAGATATTAATACAAAAATCACTAAGAAAGGGACAAGAAAGTATCAGGTGGGGTGAAAAGTGGGGGAAAAAGAGAAGAAACGCAACAAATCAAGGTGCTTCTTCCTACTTCGGTGTGGTTTTTGGTAGATATTAATACAAAACTCACTAAGAAAGGGACAAGAAAGTATCAGGTGGGGTGAAAAGTGGGGGAAAAAGAGAAGAAACGCAACAAATCAAGGTGCTTCTTCCAGCTCCAGTGTGTTTTTTAACAGATATTAAAATAAAACCATCAAGAAAGAGACAAGAAAGTACCAAGCGGGATTAAAAGTGGGGAAAAAAGGGAGAAAAAGCCAAAATCAAGGTGCTTCTTCCAGCTCCGGTGTGGATTTTGGCAGATATTAAAATAAAACCACCAAGAAATAGTCAGGAAAGCTCCAGAATGGAGTAAAAGTGGGGAAAAAAAAGGGAGGAAAAGCCCAAAATCAAGGTGCTTCTTCCAACTTCAGTGTGTTTTTTAACAGATATTAAAATAAAACCACCAAGAAATAGTCAGGAAAGCTCCAGAATGGAGTAAAAGTGGGGAAAAAAGGGAGGAAAAGCCCAAAATCAAGGTGCTTCTTCCAGCTCCGGTGGGGATTTTGGGAGATATTAAAATAAAACCACCAAGAAATAGTCAGGAAAGCTCCAGAATGGAGTAAAAGTGGGGAAAAAAGGGAGGAAAAGCCCAAAATCAAGGTGCTTCTTCCAGCTCCGGTGGGGATTTTGGGAGATATTAAAATAAAACCACCAAGAAATAGTCAGGAAAGCTCCAGAATGGAGTAAAAGTGGGGAAAAAAGGGAGGAAAAGCCCAAAATCAAGGTGCTTCTTCCAGCTCCGGTGGGGATTTTGGGAGATATTAAAATAAAACAACCAAGAAAGAGACAAGAAAGTCACGGGCGGGAGTAAAACCGGGGAAAAAAAGGGAAGACAAGCAAAAATCAAGGTGCTTCTTCCAACTTCGTTGTGTTTTTTAACAGGTATTAAAATGAAACCATCAAGAAAGAGATGAGAAAGTACCAGGCGGGATTAAAAGTGGGGAAAAAAGGGAGGAAAAGCCAAAATCAAGGTGGTTCTTTCAACTTCGGTGTGTTTTTTGTCAGATACTAATATAAAATCATTAAGAAAGAGACGAGAAAGCACCAGGAGGGATTAAAAGTGGGGAGAAAAGGGAGGAAAACCCAAAATCAAGGTGCTTCTTCCAGCTCCAGTGTGGTTTTCGGCAGATATTAAAATAAAACCACCAAAAAAGGGACAAGAAAGTACCAGGCGGGATTAAAAGTGGGGAAAAAAAGGGAAGAAAAGCCAAAATCAAGGTGCTTCTTCCAACTTCGGTGTGGTTTTTGGCAGATACCAATATAAAATCACTAAGAAAGAGATGAGAAAGCACCAGGAGGGATTAAAAGTGGGAAAAAAAAGGGAAGAAAAGCCAAAATCAAGGTGCTTCTTCCAGCTCCAGTGTGGTTTTCGGCAGATATGAAAATAAAACCACCAAAAAAGGGACAAGAAAGTACCAGGCGGGATTAAAAGTGGGGAAAAAAAGGGAAGACAAGCAAAAATCAAGGTGCTTCTTCCAACTTCATTGTGTTTTTTAACAGATATTAAAATGAAACCACCAAGAAATAGTCAAAAAAGCTCCAGAATGGAGTAAAAGCGGGGAAAAAAAGGGAGGAAAAGCCAAAATCAAGGTGTTTCCTCCAGCTCTGGTACACATTTTTGGCAGCCGTTAAAATAAAACCATTACGAAATAGTCGGAAAAGCTCTGGAATGGAGTAAAAGTGGAGAAAAAAAAAAAAAGAGGAAGAAAAGCAAAAATTAAGGTGCTTATTCCAATTCTGGCACGTGATTCCCCTCCTGGATGAGGAAGGGCTGAAACAAGACACTGAAATGGGGCGGATTTCACCCAAATGGGGCGGATTTCACCGAAACCGTGCGGAATTCACCAAAATGGGGTGGAATTCACCAAAAAGGGGTGGAATTCACCCAAAACCTGGGCTGACCTTGTCCTTGAAGTCGCTGTGGTTCTGCAGGATGGCGCGCTGGTAGGTCCCCGTCCTCACGTAGTCCTGCATCATGTTCTGCTGCTGCGACAGGTACCCGTAGAACTGGCCGGGGTGGGGAAGGGGGGAAAAGAGACAAAAAAAAGGGGGGGACACACACACAGAGGGGTGTCACCGGTGCCACTCTCAGCTGGGGGAACAGGGGGAGGGGACAGAGATATTTGGGGGGGCCCACCCCCTCACCTGGAAATACTGCACGGCCGAGGACTCCTCCGTCCTCTCGCTGAAGACGGAGCGCTCCGTGTTGTGGCCTCGGCAGTTTTTCAGGATGTTATAAAAAGAGCAGAAATCTGGGAGGAAAAAGGGAAAAAGAGGAAGGGGGGAGGTTTAGCTC